CCCCCTCCTCCACCTTACACCACTGTTTAGTTCACGTAGCACATTTTTGCCTCTGTATTAACCACTTCTCCCATCATCGATGCCATAATCTTCTTCGTCTGGTAGGTCCTTTATTGGTGTTTTATACACAAAATCAGAATAAGGGGGGTGGGGGTGGGGAGGGCTTGGGCTTAAAGTAAGATATCTACCAAACCTCAGCATGGTTTTTTTTTTTTAAGTAGGAGGTTGGCGGCTGTTGGACTGTTTCTGTGGTCTCTGCGGCCCTTGTGGACTCTGAGTGCTATGTCACCGGCGAGTCCTTTATTCCGCAAGTCATGAGGGACCTCTTAAAATAATTATGTGGCTGCAGAAGTAGCTTAACTTGAAGATATTTGGGAGCCGATGGCCGTACGGCAGGCGTGGTATCTCAGAGTACCCGGCGTACATTTTTGGCCATTGTGAGGCTTTTGTCTCGGACAAAGTCACCCGACGTGGTCCTTCATTCTGGTGTTTTGAAGGCTCGACTCAGCTCGTCTACAGAGTGCGTTACTGTCCCACGTCTTAAGCATCATGTATAAAGAGCTGTAGATAGATATAGGTCATATATTCTAGTTCTCAACTGAATCTGTTGTTTTAAAATATGTAGTAAGCCTAGAATTTCTTTTTATGCCTAGAAGGTAGGTTCCGTCCCGTTTTTACCTGTCCCTTCAACGAACCTTTTCAAGTGGCTTTCCTTTGCCTACCGGGCACCTTGACGGTTTCTTCCAGTCCACTTTGCACTACAGGTATTTGTCTTTTTATCCAAGTGAGTGGATCATGTTCAATGTTTAAAAAGGGATGGATATATATATAATATAATCTCCAACATCAACACTGCTACCCTATTGTCTTGGTTTGGAGACCTCAAACTGCCCTTGGTTTCCAGTAGAGCACAATTTTGAAGTTGATGTCAGAAGAAGGTTTTTGGTAGCTGGAAGGACGGGACCGCACAGCTCTCTGGGATCTTGCTTTTTGGGGGGGGGGAACTTTTCGTTCACTCTTACTTGGGTACTCTTATTTGAGTTCCAAATAGCATCCCAAAATCAAGTTTTGAGGGGGGGTTTCCAAATTAGCAGATACATCCATTAATTTTAAAAGCCTCTTTCTGAAGGCGCTTCTTGTGGTCCTAGAACGATGGGATGTCGGCAGGCTGCTTTGAATAAACTGGCACATGGGGGCTTCTATGGTTAAGAACATAGGTGTGCTTCTACTCGGTGTCAGACGTATGTCCATGGCGGATCCACAGAGCATTAGAGGGTCACATTGCGGCTTTTCATAACCCGCCCCCCCCCCCCACGGTCAATATACTAAGGTCCTGGGACAATGTGTCTGATTTTATTGGATAACGATGTACATTCTGCAGAGCTAAATACTAATCACACGTAATGCCGAGTCCGCAGCTGTGCTGTGGCTTTAAGGACTTGAGTTGGGACGGTCTGTTTTGGAAAGGGGCCATTTTTAATTCCAGCATAAGGGTGACAAAGCGCAAAAGGGTAGGCCTTTCCGAATGTTAAACTCGTGAGAGTGGATGGCTTATTACACGTGATGAGGGAAGTGGGATCATTTGGGGGCAGATCTGTGAATTTCAATTGCGTTTTCACTTCAATTCTAATATATATATATATTACGCGCACAAACACACATTCACTTCTTACATGTGTTATACTGTAAACATTTGAAAAAAAAATACCAATAAAGCTTTGTTTAAAAAAAAATGTAAGAAAAGATTATTCTGTATCTTATGTTACGGTATGACGTATCACGGTTACCCAACATTGTCTTCATTCAGCTTATGTAATCTGTCTGCCAAAGTTGGTATTTTGAGTAGGCATGCGCCGATACTAGTATTGGTATCAATGGCGATGCTGAGTATTTGGGTGAGTGCTCGTAATGCTCTGATACTTTCCCCGATACCTGAACTTCAGTGCCGTAGGGGAACATGGAGCCAGCTTCCCGTGTGATCAGGAAGCTGGGTGGCGAGTAATGACCCGGCTTGCTGATTGGCCAGGAAGCTGACTCCACGCTGTTTTGCTGGGAAGCTGGCCAATCGGCATCGGGCCTGCCGAACAGCCGGCTCCTTCCTGGTTAGCTGGGAAGCCAGCTTCCTGGCCATTCAGCATTGAGCCGGCTCCATGCTGATTGGCCGGAAAGCCTGGTTCTGAGCCAATCAGGGAGGCGGGTCATTACTCGCCGCACGGCTTCCTGATTGGACGGGAAGCCGGCTCAATGCTGATTGGACGGGAAGCCGGTTTCCCGGCCAAACAACATGGAGGCTCCCGAACAGCCGGCTCCTTGCTGATTAGCTGGAAAGCCTGCTTCCGAGCCAATAAGCATGGAGCCGGCTTCCTTGGCCAATCACTGAGGCGGGTCATTACTCGCCACCCGCCTTCCAATCAGGATTGGCCCGGGAAGCCGGCTCTGTGCCAGCGGAAGCACCGGTGCATCCCTAATTTCGACTACGGGTGAATGCAGGTGGACTGAAATGCCCTCTAACTTCCCTTTTTGCTGGGGACTTTAGCACTGAGGTATTGGAGCTTGGTTTGCGGTTAAGCACATTACATTGCGTTTTGCCAAAGAACCAGGAAGTAGAAAACAAGAAATTGTAAGTAAAATGAAAATGTGAGATGATTTCATACGAGCATGTGGAGCTGAATGCTGATGTGATTTTTAGCCAAAGGGGGTAAAGGTCCGTTTTAGGATGAAACCACGTCTGTAATGGGGAAACTAAGCGGCATATTTATAACTCCATTATTCCGAGTGTTGACGCTCTTCCAGCCGATCCTCCATCTCCAGCGTTGCCACTCTGACTGCACGTGCTCCAGCTTGTTCCCGGGGATACTCTGCTCTGAGCATGATATGAAAGGACACCCCCCTGGAATCCCCTTCGAATTGCATGTTCCTCCCTGCTGGTCACTGGGTGTTGCAGAAATATTAGCTGTGCGTTCTGTTCCAGAGGCAGGGCTGATAGAGTGTAATCAAGCAACTGATCAGCAGATTGAACAGCTAAAGGCTGCAGCACGGGGAGGAGGAGCATACATGTCTATAGGGGTGCCTGGTAGGTGCTCTTTCATATCACACTGAAACTGATATCCGTCCCACTATTGGACAGTCAGGAGCGGAGGGAGGTGGACTATATTACGACCGCAAATTAAGAGACATAAAAGTAATTTGAGCTTAGAGGTCTATTTATAAAACATTTGCATAGCTCCTGCGTCCAGCACAGCGGCATCTACATTCGTTCCTTGCGTGTTAACCAGCTGTTGTGAGTATGGGGCAAAAACAAAGGTTCTTACTAGGGATGCACCAATACTAGTATCGGTGCCGCGTATTTGGGTACTTGCCCAAATGCTCTGATGCTTACATCCGATACCTGAGCTTCCGGTATCGGGAAGCCGGGCAGCGAGTCATTACACGCTGCCCGGCTTCCTGATTGGCCGGGAAGCCAGCTTCATGCTCCCTCATCACTTGGTGACAAGGGAGCCTGGAGCCGGCTTTCTAGTGCGTTCTGGCCAGAATCGGGCCGGAACGCACTGCATCTGGTGTGAACGAACCCTAAGGAGCATGTAAATGTAACCGTTGCTGTCCCAGTAGTATCAATGGTTACATTTATAGGCTTAGTCCCTCCAGTGATCTCTAGAACTACATCACTGTATCTCCTTACTAATATGTATTTATCCCCCATGATCCTCAGCTCCATCTAGTGACCACTGTTTTCCATTTTCTCTCTTCGCCACGCCCCCTCCTGCCCCACAAAAAAAGTCAGCCAGCCACAATGCAGTGCGTTCTGGCCAGAATCGGGCCGGAACGCACTGCATCTGGTGCGAACGAACCATTATCTCTAGAGCTCTTGAACTGTAACATTGTACCTCCTTACTAACATGTATTCATCTCCTATGATCCTCAGCTTCATGTATTGTGGTATTTTCCCCATTCACTCTGGGCTTCTTTTTCATTCTCTGTTCTTTATGAATATTGCTACTGAAGAACATTCAACCAAAAGAGAAATAGAGAAAGAACATTCTACCCCCCCCCCCATCTTCCCTTTTCATAGCCGTTGGTTAATTCCCACAGAATGAATGAACATAGTTGCGCTGGATGAATAAG